TCCTGATATGCCCCACTGTGGCAGCTTTACTCATCTAAATAAAACCTTCTGAAGGCACCATCCTGCAAATGGTAAAATCAAGTTTCCAGTACCTGAGCATTCTCTTTTGTGGCTCCTACCTGCTTAATGAAGAAGGCAGGCTCCCATGCTTTTAATATTTCACAGAATGTATAAAAAGGAATTGCTCAGGAGGCAATTTTTATATCAGGAATAGGGTCACAGTTAATGTTTGAAATTTTAGGCAGTTTTCATTGCATTGTTCATTGTAAATATTATAAAGTAAAAGGTAAAGGTTTCCCTTGCTTGAAAGCCAGTCAAATCCAACTCTAGAGGTTGGTGCTCATCTGTTTCCAAGCCGAAGAGCCAGCGCTGTCTGAAGACTTCTCCGTGGTCATGTGGCCAGCATGACTAAAAATGCTGAGGTGCACGGAAAGCTGTTACCTTCCCACCAAAGTGGTACCTATTTATCTACTTGAAATTTCTTGCTTTCAAACCGTTAGGTTGGCAGGAGCTGGGGCCAGAGACGGGAGCTCACTCTGTCACGCAGCATTAGGGTCTCGAACTGCCGAACTACAGACCTTCCAATCTGCAGTTCAGCATCTTAACCTCTGAGCCACCGCAGCCCCTGTTATAAATATTATACTGTTACACTAATCTTCTAATCCACTTTTGTTGGATTGTTGGTTATATTATTATACAGCTCTTATTTTAAGAAGATAAGAACATAAGAGAAGCCAATGTTGGATCAGGCCAATGGCTCATCCAGTCCAACACTCTGTCACACAGTGGCCAAAAATACCAGGTGCCATCAGGAGGTCCACCAGTGGGGCCAGGACACTAGAAGCCCTCCCACTGTTGCCCCCCCCCCCAAGCACCAAGAATACAGTGCATCACTTGCCCCAGACTGAGAGTTCCTATCTATACATTGTGGCTAATAAGCAACTGATGGACCTCTGCTCCATATGTTTACCTAATTCTCTCTTGAAGCTGTCCATGCTTCAATTAAATTGTATAAGCCACCTTCAGACTGAGTGAGAAAGGTAGACTATAAATGAAATAAGTAAATAAATAAACATATCTCAGCAAGGTGATTACTGTGGAGCAAACTGCACAATTTGACTGAGAACAATCAAAGAAAGGGTGAAAAAAGACAATAAGAACACAAATCGCTACTTCTGAAGCCACAAAGTGGGCAAACATGACAATTCTTACGTCAGTGTCACAGCAGTTTAATTAAACACTCTTTTTGCAGAAGATATGAAGAACACTCCATCTTAATCTACCTTCAGCACTTTCTCACTCAGACAAATGAAGACCAGGTGCACCTTACACTCAGATAGCATGTTATAAATACATCAAACAGAAAATGACTTATTGTACTCATCTTCTTTCTCAGCAGTTGATTTCCCCGCAACAGTGGTATCCTGATTTAGGTCCACTTTACATAACACACACTGCAATGTCAGCTGAAGGAATCCAGGTTGCCATTTTGTTTGTAGTGAAATAGTTGTGCTTCACCACAAGTCATCAAGAGTCACCATGTCATTGCAAACCTTCCCCAAATAGGTGTTGTGACTTTTATTCTGTGATCAGCCATTCACTATATTTTTAGCCTGTCCTCCTTTCAAGAAGCTCAGGGCAATGTCCATGGATTGTGGTGAATTTGTGCTTTCTATCCCGGTATTCATGTCAAGGTTTCTCATAACTGGGCTTGAACTCCATACATGCTCAGAAAGTCACAAAGGCCCCTGCCACACGGGCAGGAAACTGCAGAGGAGAAGAGTGGCTGTTTGCCCCGGGGCAAACTAACATGCAGTAAAGCGATCAGACCTACTGTGGAGGTTCTGTGGAGGTACTGTGGAGGTTCCATGGCAAGGGAGAGGTGCCGATCACAACACACAAAGTGTATCTTTCTGGCTAGCAGAAAATAAGGAGAAAAGGGGGTGGGAATTATTCACATCCCAAGTGTGAAGCCATCCTCCTATGCCATAAATGCAAATGGCCCTAGACAGAATGACAAAAGCCAGGTCGCACCTTAGCTACAGAGCTTGGGAAGGACAGATCTTCCTTTTGAGACAGGAAAAAAAGAGGGCCCGTAAAGGGAAACAATAAAACCCCTGGACATAAGGAAGAAGGAACCATTTTGACTACAAGACACTCAAATGCAGTCTATAGGTTCACCTGGACTCCATCTTGAGCACATGTGGCTGAGACCACAGGGGGAGACCACAAGATTTGAATCAGCCTTTGGAAATCGCACATCACCACTTTTCTGGATCACTAAGGTCCTATAATTTTAGGTTACAGCTAAGCGTATGCTCAGAAGTGCAAAACTTAATTGAATGAAGGCCATCCATCTAGAAAAAAAAACTGGGATCCTGTAAGATAATTTATCCAAAATTGACAGCCTCTGAATTGTTTACACATTCAAGAGATAAATCCTGTAGAGTTGAAAGTCAGCAACTCACCCTCCAGTTCACCCCAGGATGGTCACATAGAACAACTGTTAGACTGGTGTCCCAGATGGGAAGATGTTACGGTTTCAAAGGGGAACACAATGAACTTCATAAGGAGGTCACAAGTTAGCTGTGGTGAATAAACACCTTGGAATATTTGCACAAATAGGTTCATTCTAGAACTAGTGTAGTAGCCTCAGGCACTCTTCTATCTCATCATGTCATGCTCAGCTACAGTGGACGATTGGGGGGGGGGAGGGCCTACCACAAATTTCATGTTCTAACCCTTTCTTTATACCATTTTTGTCCATTATAGGTTAAATCTGATTTATACACAACTGGTACAAAAATAAACTTTAAATGTATATATTCCATGGGAAAATGAAGAAACAGAAAATGGCATGGCCATGGGCTTGATTTGCACAAAGGAGAAGTGAAAACGAGCTGGGGACTTATGACTTGAAGGTAAGGATGCAAAATGTAGTCACATTTCTATTCATAAGCTACCGAACTAGGACTTACATGTCTTTGGGTTCTAATGGCTGCGGTCACACGGAGCAGTAAGCACGCAAGAGGGACTGAAGAGAGGCGGAGTTTCCGGGCGCGATCTCACAGCAACATCTGGGGAGCGTAGAGCTCCCATGGCTGATCCGTGGCTACCGGCCGAAGACGCGCAGTAAAAAACTAGTACCTCCGAGGTACTAGTTTCTGGGAACTGCGCAGCAAGGGCGGGCGCCTGATCGCGCCCCTGCCGAACTCCCGTGGCATCCGGCGCCCGCCGGGTGGTTCCCCCCCATGCCTCTAGAAGCGGCCAACAGCGCGTGCGCACAAAGGCACGCGGCATTAGGGTCGAGGGAGGGCCATGGGGGGGCTGCAATGGGGGCGAGCGGTAGCGGCCAGGCAGAGAGCGGGCCGCGTGTCCCGGGGGAGGGAGGGCGGGCAGGCGGGCTGCTGGTGGGGAGGGGGGATTCGGCGGGGTACTCCCCCTCCCCTTGATCGGCACCTCCACCGTAACCACGGGACCTCGCCGGGACCTCATCGGTTCGTCTGATCCTGCTGCCACGAGGTATTTTGCCCCGGGGCTAATAGCCACGCTCCCCCCCCCCGCAGCTTCCTGCCCGTGTGACCGCAGCCTACATAGTATAAATAATGAGAAAGGATGCGATGAAGAAAATAATTAGCAGGGAAATAAATTTCATTCTCAGGCCATGACAGGAAGAGGAAAATGTAAAAAAGGAGAGGAAAGATTAACATAAACTGACTCCACTGAACATCTTCACTGATAAGACATTTGTGACCACAACACCATCAATCTCCTTAACAGACTGAAAATAAAATAGAGACAAAGCAGATTTACCAGTAATTTTCCTTAAGCACAATACCTTTGCTCCTGGGATCCCTGGTTCACCCTGCATTGGGGGGTGGGGGAGAGAAATATAAACAGTTTAAAAAGTGAAAGCGACCCTTTCTGTTTCACAGTTAACAGGCAAAGTGAGCTTTTCCTTGACAAAGGATTCATGCCAGAGCACCACTTGACAGCATTACTTTAATTGCTATTTACATTTATTCAAAGAGTATCACCAAGTCTCACACACCAGGTGTCTGGGTACAGATGAAACATTTGCTACTGCAAAATTTGATAAAGCTTTAATTGGACCAGAAATTTTAGAAACCAGTTAACCTGTAGAAATAAAAATGGGAAAAGCTGGGAATATTCAGGCTTGAGGGTAGGACCAGAGCCAGATACAATGAAGACAATTCAGGCTTCCCAAATCTGTGTTTCTCTTGTAATGCCAATGTAGGAATTGTGGAGTGGATATTTGCTAGGGTTGGTATGGAAAAGGGAATTTCTTTTTTCCAAAATAACAACGGCAAGGGCTAAAATTTCAAAAGGGTACATTGATTTCTCCACATGGAGAAATGAAAGAGAAATCCCTCTTTTAAAAGAGAATAAGAGAAATCAATGGCTACCTCTTTAAATAGTGTTCTCCTGTTCTTTTTCTCTCTTTTAAAACAGGGATTTCACTCTAATTTTTCTTTCTGGAGAAATATCAATGCAGTTGTTTTATCTTACATGCCACATGATGGTGCTCTAGCAGGAGAATGTGAAGGTCTGGGAAGACACTGCCTGCCTCTGGGCATCTACAGAGTAAAACTCTGATATATTTCAGAACCTCCCTTCCCTTCCTATCACTCCTCTCTTTGAATTTCTCTTTGATCAAAATGGAATTGATTGGAAACTGACTCCAAATTCCTAAAAAGAAGGAAAGATATGGATTGTTGGACTCCAGTGAGAAAATGGGTAAAGAACAATTAAGAGAATATTTGTTAACATTAGTATTTTGCCAGGGAGAATCAGTATGTTAGAATGATTCACAACCCTCTTCAGCTCCTGGTTCTTCCCTGTACTTAGAACTCCACGGGTCATTTATATCCAGCTAGATTCTAAAACTAGAATTTAGTCAAATTTGGGGGGAAATAGCAGCAGGCTAGGGATGGGTTGGGATGGGGTAAACTTCCAGAAGGAAACAGGTAAACATGAATAGGATTAAGCATCCCCAGTCTCTCTAACCCTCTGTATTCCCTAACATCTCTGTGAACGGTCATAGCCACAAGAACTTCTTGTTAAGTCTCAAGACAAGCTGAAACAATGGACCCCTTATTCATAGTGTATAGAAAAATAAGCAGGAACATTTAAATGTGTTAACAGAAGCTTCAGGTAAAATTTTTAAAAAAGTAAACTAAGGTCCCGGTCACACGGGCTGGAAAATGCAGGGGGCGGGAGCGTGGCTGTTTGCCCTGGAGCAAAGTAATGCGCGGCAGCCTGATCACATGTCCCGTCGAGGTCCCGTGGTTAGACCGTTAGGTGCTGATCACACGGCTATCCTGCAGCACGGCAAAGAAGCGGCATGATCACACCGGCAATCGCTAGGCACCGCTTCCGTGGCAAACGGGATTTTTTTTTCACACCGAAGTTTGCACATGTGCATGATTGTTTGTGCGCATCCTGTGGAGACTTACAAAAAAACCCCACATCCGGTATGCGACGGGACATGGACGGGCACCAGATGCCATGGGATTGAAGCGGAAACGCAATCAGACACATGCCCTTGCCCCGTTTCCAGGAAACTAGTACATCGTATGTGGTAGTTTTTTACTCCGCATCTTCAGCGAGAAGCCACGGGTTAGCCACGGGTGTACTACGCTTCCCAGATGTTGCGGTGTGATCGCGCACCGAAAATCCGCCTATCATCCATGTCTTTAGCGTGGCAACTTCTCCGTGTGAACGGGACCTAAGGCTGGAGACAGAAGGTAGTTTCAGCCTAGGTGTTTAGGCTGAAATTGCCATGATTCATTCACTGTTTTACAGAGAATCCAGATTATATGATTGTCAATTTGAGTTTGAATGTGTTTCTGCGTTGGTCTTCTGTCTTTTTCATACTTAATTTGTGGCAACTTTTAAAACATAAAATACAGTTGTGCAGTACCGTGTTGTCCAAATCTGTAATATCTTCTTAAATTTTCCTTTCTTTTTCTTCCAGTTTAATTAACTACTTATTGTTGTGTTATAATCAGCAGAATCAATTGTAAATTATCAGCTTTTGTTTTGGGAAGGAGAGCTTAAAGTACTGTTTTTCATTTGTAGACAGCCAAGGATGATGCTCTTTATTTATTTCCTTTTTATTATCCCTATTTCATAATCATGATATTACTATCTTAATCATTAAAAAATTACAGACTCAAGCCCCCACCTCCCAAAGAGAACAAAAGCTGGTATTTAAACATTGATAGGAGTGCCATGAGAGAACTGATCACCTGTGAGAAAAACAGTAATTGATTAGGCTACAACAAAAAAATAAAATGTAATTGCAGGAAAAATTATAACCTTTTCTGAATGGGATTTACTTCTGAATGGGATTTGTTTTGGATTTTTTTTTGCAAACTTGGGGTTACTCCCAGTATTGCAAAAATATTCCACCACCACCCCAAGTTGTACAGGGCTCCATAGTGCAAAATTTTCTGATCCACATTCTAGGGTCATGTTTAAAATTTAGATATAAACATATCGCGAAGTTCCTGTTGGAGTGAGTGACTCAGCATACCTGGACATTGGGGTGTGTATAAGTGTTAACTTCTTGGATGGGATATCTGTCTCTCTCTCTTTGTCTTAACCTGGGAGCTGCCCTCTGACCCCGTCGTCTCTTTCTCTCTCCCCATTCTTCACATGGCTCTTCATGGAGTCACATGTCTCTACAGGTCTCTCCTTTAGAAACAAAGACCTCATACTTCAAGACATATGATGCCAGGTTAGTTGGCCACTTGTAAGAGGGAAAGTACTCTTTAGATTAGGTTTCTCCCTCTTCTTTCAACTACAAACTGAATCTACTTGAATAAATGTAAGTTTTACTTTTTGCAGTATACTTCTTGGGAGATTTATTTATTGCATTCAATATCATGATTCTATGACTCTGTTTTATTAACCAAGTATCCTAATAGTTTCTCTCATGGTTGCATTGTAGTATAACCAAGATAAACCATGGCGGGGCTATGAAGATAGGAACAGTTTTGATTCTCAGTAGTTAGGCTCACAACCAGGTTCATCCCCTGTCCCAACAGTATTTCCTATTACATCAATAAAACAATGCATTTGGGGGCACTGCTGTAGTCAGAACAATACCTACCATCCACACCTAACACTAGGTGGCCCAAACCAAACCAACAGAGCTTTCACAAGAGATCTACATGCAAATAGTCTCACATAGCAATATATACATTCTGCCTCCAAATATATACCTCATAGTAATGTTGTTAGTTCTATATAAGAACGCAGCTGTCTAGTCAATAAGAAATGGTATTCCAATTATCAAATCATTGTTCTGGTTGATCTATCTACAATACTTATACTGTCTCTGTAACACTAGAAAAGGAGCTGAGGTGGCTCAAGTGGTTAAGACGCTGAACTGCAGTCTGTGGTAGGTCGGTAGTTCAGCAGTTCAAGACCTGAGTGTGCCGCATAACGGAGTGAGCTCCCGTCTCTAGTTCCAGCTCCTGCCAACCTAGCAGCTCGAAAGCAAGAAATTGCAAGTAAATAAATAGGTACCACTTCAGTGGGAAGGTAACAGTGTTCCGTGCACCTTGGTGTTTAGTCATGCCAGCCACATGACCACGGAAATGTCTTCGGACAGTGCTGGCTCTTCGGCTTTGAAGAGATGAGCACTGCAACCCTAGAGTCGGATTCGACTGGCTTTCGAGCAAGGGAACCTTTACCTTTACCTTTACCACTAGAAAAGTTTATGCATTGTAACGTAGCAACTTTGGGCATACCCCATCCAAAACACTGATTTATTGATACATGAATGTTTCTTTTGGGCTCTAGTTCTTAAAATAAACTTGAGGACATGTTAATGTGGTTGGAATCAACTATCTGTAACAGTTTATTTAATCTGATGGCTGTACATTATGCTCTTATTCTGAATAGATATGAATGTAAAGATTTGGATTTTGTTAACTACACTCTTTTCTATGAAGGATCTTAGCACTTAGTCTCTCTTCCTGAAATTATAACTTCTCCCATATGACAAAACAATGGATGTGGTACTTCCAAGAATGCAATGACTGCGGAATGATACCACATTCATAAGGAATTTTTAATTATGTGTGTATCCTTATCATCATCTTCTCACCTGTCTTTCAAAAATACCAGAACAAATTATATGTTCTCTCACTTCCATGAAAGCTGTCCAGATTTCAGGACAGTGATATAAATCTGTTAGAACCTTTATTTAAATAATTATTTTTTTTCTTTCTAGGATTTCTTCATTATCCCTTGCTGCCTTGGGGACCCTAAGCTGGGGGGAAAGGCGGAATAAAAATGTTTTCAATTAAAGAATTAAATAAATCCTCATTCTGGTTTATCCATCTGGACCATTTCATACTTTTAGGTACATTCATCAGGAAGTCACGATTGGCTGCAGTTCCCCATAGAGTTGGTCTCTGCATAATGGGTGAAGAGGCTTTGAAGGCACATTTTTGTTCTTGTTTTCACTACTCCCAAAAAACTACTATTTGGCCCTAGATTGATACCATATTTGCAATTCTGCCCTTCCTCTTTTAACCATGCCTTTATTCTAAGAGATGTCACTTGAGTAGAAAACTAACCTTCATCCCTGTCACCAAAATTCCAGGAACCCCCTGACAGGAAAAAAAAGAAAAAATAGAAACACCTTGACTGAAGCAAAATCAGGCATTCTTTGGGAAAGAAAGTTTTAGAGAAGCAGAGGTTTGTTTGTTTGGTTTTTGGCCAAAGCACACAAAACAGAATGTAAAGCAGAAGCCTGAAGCCTTGGGAAATGGACAACCCTAGACATGTCAGCAGTAGAACTGTTTACTTAAAACAAGGTCTGCCCCA